AACTGCATTAGGGAGTTGGATGACACAGGATTTACGTATTGTAAATAGGGGTGTGCATTTGCGGGTATTTTTAGAACCGGGTACCCGTTTTTTGTTAACATCGGGTACCCAGGTACCCGGAAAAGAGATCACTTAATAACAAATGGCATTTCGTGCGACCCGATGGACCATGTGCCCGAAACAAGGTTCTTTTTGGTACATAGGAAGCAAGCAGCACATTGTTCTAAACGTCGAAGTAAATCTCTCCTACCTTTTTATCAAACGAAATTGTTACCTTCAGTTTGCAAATGTTTTTTGCGGGTATATGAAACAGAAACCAAATCCTTACTGGGAACGTCAAAAAAGAGGACAGAGCTGCAAACCACCTACATGAAACGCACCTGCAACCATTCAAAGGAAATGTCCCGGATGCTGCATGACCACGTACACGCGGGGCGCACGTGTACAAATGTTGAGCTCGTCACGTGCGGACCAGATCAGTGCTATGTACGTCACAGGTTTAAAGGCTTAAAGTTTTATGTACAAAAATACTGCTGTAACTCGAACAATGCCCACACCATTATATCCACTTCTTTTGAAGTTTCTGATTAAAAAAACACCACCAAAGTGCTTCAAACAGCGTTGAAAGTATCGGAAGTCTATATAGGGTTAGGAGTCATCGCAAGTGCATTTCTTTTCTCTCGAGGACTAGTTGTATGCACGTTGCATAAATCAACGTAGCTGCAACTGTAATCCTGGCTTTCAATACACTGAAACTAACCTGATTTTTTGGCTAACGCGGGCCCAATTATAGTCCCTTCAGGCAGTCCAATCGCTGACACTGCAGCGGCCATGTGACTGCAAAAGGAAAGGTCATGTGACCGCACATAGGGAAACCTAAGTTAAAAAAGTAACAGCGCTTCACTTTGTTAAATGACTGAGCAATACGAAAGTTTTGCCACACGAAGGTACATGTACCATGATGAAGTGGTTCAGTTTAATAACTAATTTTTTAAGAGGTTCAAATTCATTATTGTTGAGATTTTAATGTATAAGTACTTTGACAGGTGACATTTGATTGGCCGAATGTATTATGACTTGCACCTGTCAACATTTCCTTTTTTTCAAATGAAATTTTCAGATTTGAAATGCTTTTGTACATACAAAAAACATCCTTCCTGCTTTTTTTGTTCAATTCCTGATCCACTGTTCTGCTGAATCACTGAGGAAATTCATGTTGCTTTAACTTAAAAATCATTTTGAAACAGCATATTTCTTGGTATAAAAAACTAAACTGGTTCTCTGACTCTTTGGTTTTGCAGAGCACATCTAGTGCTTTGGTTATATAAAAAGAGGCCGATCAACCGCACAATTTGTGTGTGATCACTACTTACTGCTCGCCTTGTGGAGTTTCGGATCCCAGTACCGCTGGAATATTACACAGTCCGCTCTCGCTTCGTCGTCAATCCCGACATAAAGTAATATTCATTAATATTGTTTTATTTGACAAAAATACTCTCAACTCAAACAGTAAGCTCTACTACTTCCGCACAAAAGTCATTTAGGCCAACCCGGGTTTGAAAGTTACAAAAACAGTCATGCAAGTGTACATCAACAGCACTTCCAGTTCAGAAGACAAAATTCCTTCGGTGTCTTGTTCATATAGGTTTGGTACAGTCATTTTCCTAGTTCCGGGTCGCGAAAATTATTCAATAAGACTGCAGCTAAAAAAATCCTCAAATTCAAGTGAAATATGGTCAGAAGTCAACTTTGTGTTTTGGATATACGGCAATTTTTTTCCAAAATCTAAGCTTTTATATTTAGACTCACAGGATCGATCGACGAAAGTGACGACGACACCTTTCGTAGTTCTGGATCAGTTTAGGATCGAGACAAAACCGTCTTCTCAAATAAAAAGTAACTATACGAAAAATCCATTTTCAGCCAAAACCATTGTAAAAAGTTGCTTTTCTAATAAAGAATTTTTTAATTTTGAGAAATTTAGATGGAAAATAGGAAATCCAATGAATTGAAAAATAGAAATTGCGTAAAGTTTGACTCAAGTTTTCAACTGTACAGTGAGATATCAACGGTACCCTCCCCGCGCCACACAGTTGACGAACCCAATACGTCACATACATTTCTGCTGCAACCGTGTAGTGGTAACGCCACGCGATCCGAAAGTAGGGGAAAAGCTTGCGGTTTTCAGTAAATTAACAAAAACGGAAACTCTAAAAAAGTCATTTTGATTAAGCAGACATTAGATGCAAAGGTTTATATGACTAAAAGAGAGACTTTAAAGAGATAATTTAAATCATGCGTAGTGAGTGACCTGTCGCCCGTGAATTTTAGTGGTTTTTTCACTCTTGTGAATGAGGAAAATTCCGGAACTAGGAAAACGACTTGGCGGTACAACAGCCGGAGTGGATAACAAAATTAGCTGTTGATCTCCGAATTTAAGTTTCATGTAGGACCGCGGGACTGGGTTTTCAGCGGCATGGTGATTTTCCATGAAGTCTGCCCTTCAGTAAGAAATTTCACAGACATTTTATGCATAGATGTTTGTTCCTAATTTATTTACTCTTTTATGGGTACCCGGCCTGGAACCGGGTTTTTAAATCGACGAGCGGGCACCTGGGTACCCGGCACATGCCTAATTGTAAATCCATGCTGATCATCGTTGTCAAGACAGTTTGAAAAAACATAGCCATTAATGTTGTCAGGGACTGCTCTTTCCAAATTTTGCAGATAATGGAGGTAAGAGCTACATGGCGATAATTTTCTGTGAGTGTTCGTTTGCTAGATTTGAAGACTGGGGCAACATTGGATAACTTCCAGTCCATTGGGAGATTCCGTCGGGACCAGGTGCCTTGTGAGGGTCAAGATTTTTTAATGACTTTAAAAGCCATCATAGTTCAATTTGAAGTGGTGGCAGTTCAGGAATGGGTAGATTGCAGGGTGTTGGTGTTATTGGGCAAGATCCAGGAGGAGAATGGACTGAACTGAAGAAATTATTAAACGCTTGGGCAATGTCACTAGGCTGACGAAGTAACTGTTCACCATGCTGAAATTCTGGAGGACACATTGATTTTTGCTGGTCACGAACAAAACACCAAAAGCTCTGCTTGTTGTCTTTCATTGCAAAAAGATGGTTAGCATATTTGCAGTAGGCTGTTTTTGTAGTATACTTCACTTTATTGCGTACACGTTTGTAATGTTGCCATGCCAGGCTCGAACTGGAGTGTTTGGCATTAGCAAACAGTTTATGTTTAAGGTAGATGAGCTTTTTCATATCCCGAGTTATCCATGGCAAGACTTTGGTGCACCTACGTTGCTTTGTAGGTATGCTGTCATGTATCACAGCCTGAAGGATGTCCAGAAAGCCTTCCCATGATGCATTGGGGTCAGCATCATTCATGAAGGCAGACCATGGTGCAAGTTGCAGAAGAGTATCAAGGTGATTCACATCGGCTTTTCTGTACTGGAGGAATGATCGGACAACTGCAGGTTGTGGTGGGGACTTTCGTGCACAAAATGTGAAGCGTACAGCATGATGGTCACTGCTAACTGGATTTGCAACGGACTGGACATCAATGAACTTCTCTGGCCAATTTGTGAAAATCAGATCAATAGTAGATCCAGCCGATGCAGTTATTCGAGGGTCGGGTAACATCTTTGACTACCTGACAAAGTTCAAGGGAATTGGCAATTTCTTGAAGATGAGCAGTAAGTGCTGAACCTGTCTGTCAGTTTATATTGATATCTCCAAGTAGAATGAATCCCTTGTAGCCATGAAGGACAGGTTGGATGACATCACAAGCGTCTTGCAGCTTTTCAAAGAAAGTGATTCAGAGTTTGGTGGCCTGTATATAAGACCAACTAACCATCTTGAATGCTTGACAGTCAAAAACAGCCAAGAGAATACAATGTCTGCAGGTTCAAGATGATCAAGGTGAGTTGGCAGCAACTGATTAACCACAGCCATGATGCCACCACCTTGATTGTCTCGATCACGCCGAAAACTTGTGTAGCCTGGTAAAAATGTCAAAATGGTGTCGGTATCGCCAGGAGACATCCATGTCTCAGTGACAAGAATAATGTGGAGTGAATAACGTGGAATGACACTTGTAAGAAAAGTTCCTCCAGACCAAGTGAAGTGCAGAGCTGAATTTGCTCCGGAAGAGACAGTTTGTGGGATCATAAAGTTTTCGATGGTCATCACGCCCTCGCCATTTCATCTTGAGCCTGGTCATTCTTATTTGGCATGATCTTTGTCCCCGTTGCATCTCATTTTTTGCATCGTCAAGGATTGAAATGTTTTTCAGCATCTGTGGAGTCCAGTATTCTTCACTGTAGTGCCTGCCAAGCTTTTGCCCATAAAAACATCTTGTTTGTCTTTATCCTTATCATTGTATTCCAATCGGCATATTCTTTGTTATCCTTGCTTTACATGCTAAGTGTGACATTCTCATTAAATCACACTTGTTTATTTGTTCCTTATATCAGTGTGATCTTGTTTGATTTCTTTGTTACTTTGGAGAAAATTCAAGCCTTGGAATAAGTACTATTCTTAAATAGTTTGGAGTTTTTCAGATTGTAGCAAAAGTGACTTGACGCGACCTCTTGACCTAATGACTCGACTCCTCTTTAGTCAATGTTAAAATTACTTGACTCAAGTCACTAAATTAAGTGACTAATTACAACACTGATGTGTACATGTGTGGTAGTGCAGGTCTCAGGTCTACAGAGATTAATGCGGGTATGCATGCAAATTTAATGCCAGCTGATTCACATACTTCCAAAATAAGATGTAGTATCTTTCTAATAAAAAGGAGCAGTAACTTTATATTAAAAGGCAGTAAACATTATTCTCAAAGTAATCAATACCCGTAAAATTTCCTCATTACCCTTGTCTTGACTAAACCTTTAGTCATGACAAACACCAAGCGTGCATATGAATGTCAACCTTTTTTATCTTTTAAGGTACTTGAATTTATTGCAAGTTTGTTTTATTCATGCAGGCCAACAAGAACGGATCAAAATTTGTAGAGTTTGATGTTGGACTCACCAAAGATGGAGTACCAGTCCTCCTTCATGATGACTCAGTGGATCGTACCACTAATGGGACAGGAGCACTTAAGAACTTAACACTAGCTGAGGTGTTGAAGCTAAATGCTGCTGCAAAACATCCCCTCAGGTTAGTCATGTTTTAATAAATCATAAAAAGGTTTTTTTAATTATTTTTGCAGATGTGATGAATTTTTATTGTCAAAGTGCGTAACAGCACTACAAAATGACGACACTCAACGTGTCTAAGAGACAGCAACTCTGAACTCAACACCCCAGTGTTGGAGGTAACTTTTACATCAGAAGTAGTGTAACTGGCAGCCGGTTGCAGCTCCTTGTTTTCAACTTTTATACCTCATCTGTGGGTGCTGTAGTGACACCGAAATCAAGTCAAATTAGAATCTTTGACTGACCGTCATAGATCCCTGTGCCTTAGATTTGCCAAACACTTGATGAATAATGAGCACATGTCGCATCTCATTCCGCAGCCTCAAACTAGTAGAATATTACGTCGGTCTAAATTAGTATCTGAACCAAGATGCAAAACAAACAGATTTAGGAACAGTGCAATTCCCTATTTATCTCGATTAATTAACTCTATGAATTGATTCATTTGATTGTGTAGAGGTTCTTTGCATTGTCAAATATGGGTCTATTTTAAACTGTGCACGGTGGTTTAAGACCCAGACATTTCAAAAAAATTTTCCCTTTGATGTTATGCTTTTAATCAGTTCACTAGTATCTAATGAGATAACGTTCACCAAAGAAAAATTTGTTTGTTAATAATTTTACCGAATATTCCACTGAAGTACGCACCTAAGCTTTTTTGAAGAAAGGTAGACTTGTCATAGTTGAAAAAATGTCAACAAAAAACCCTGCTTGTCAAAAAAAATTGTATCTTCAGATAGAAACCTTTGCATTATTTTGTAGCTTGTTAGACACTCTTTCAGCTGATATGAATTTGCTTTCAAAAAAATTGAATAAAGCGCAGAAATTTGCGTTTACTTTTTACAGTAAACTATGAAAAGTACCAAACAAGAAAAATATACATCGACATATGGTTGTTGATGCATTTGTACTATCAGCCATTAATGGCCAGGGCAGAAATGTCTAGTTTATTCATAAATTGATTGAGTAGTTAATTGGCTACAAATACAATCAAGCAGAAAAGTTGCACAATTTGTCATTGTGCCAAAAGAATCAACTTCACTTCGTTGTCACGCAGGATTTGACGTTATTTCAAGTGTAATGAACAGCGCCCTCTATTGTTGAGACATGTAAGGTATACTGCAGGTGATTGCTGCCGATGACGTCAGGCCTATTGGTGCTCAGTTTCATCGCATTCGCTCAAATGCCATCGACTTTGTTGTAATTGTGTTAACTTTGTGTGCGAAGGTTAGTCGTAATTTGAGGGTTATAACACAGCTTAAGTGGAATTTAAACTGAAAAGTAGTTGAAAGAACTGTATCTTTTAGTCAAGGGTGATGTCCATTGTCGATCCCAACGAATGCTGTAGGATGAAGAAATATTTTTTTGCACCAGTTGTTATGTAAACCAGCCAAACGATGACATTTCTACCTGCTTGTGACTTACACGTATCTCAGGCTCAGTGTTGTGTCATGGCCTGAGGTATCAGATATGAATGTTTTTCAAACCGCCTAACGATTGGCCAAATAGGTTATCTGATTTAGACCTCAGCTCTTCTATTGCGAAATGGTTCAACACATTTTGTGGGGTTTTATTTCTATGGAAATGTTGATTAAAACTTTTGACAAAGACTTCTTAGAAATACATAATACTGAAAATAAAACTGGGTTTTTGGCAGATAAAAATCATGACAGAACACAGAGGCATTACAGGTACCTGGTACGTGGTTTATTTCTACTTAAACTGGAATATAATTTTAAAAACTTGACAGGAAAACCTTGGGTTTAACAAAAGAGGCCAATTTTGTTGAGATCACGAGCAAAATACATACATAATTCCATACCCTGATCTCGCAGGTTCAGAACACACTGAGGGCACAGTCACTTTATAAATAAAATAATATATATTTCTTCAGGAATAATTGAAAACATGATTGAATGGGAAAGAGAGTCACTGGGAAAAGGTAACTTCATAACTTGTTAAGATCACTTCATATTTCCAATCACTAAAATGTTTAACGAAAGAGGGACCGAGACCAAGTGAGGAACTTGCTTTATTGATATGATACCTCTCAAATAAAGAAAAAAAATCATTGTCATTTTAGTTTAAAAATGCAATAAATTCAAAGAACATTAAATTAGTGAAAGTGAAATTAAGTCACAAGATTTCTTTTCATCATTTCCCCCTTCCTTTCCTGTTATGATTGCAATGAAATACAAATGCATAATGATCTCACTTCCAAACTGAGGTGATCATCTCTTAAATGATCACAGATTTTTTCCCAAACCGCTGTAGCCAAGGGGCGCGAGCGTGTTCTTTCCAACATTTTTTAATAACTGCCAATAGAGGGCACCGTCATTCACGGAGATCAATAATAATGCACTTTTGCCAATGCAACCATTGCAAAAATGTTTTCCTGTAGCCAAATTGAAAACCCATGAGGACTCTAAATAAGTTCTAAAGACTTGTTTAACTGTTTTAATTGATGTGAGTGAAAATAATCTGATAGTATTCACTGATGTCTTGGTCAGGTAGGGTTTTAAACCACTGTGCTGTGGTTTTATGTATTGTCTCATACAAATTTATATATATTTCTGTTGATTCGATTCCCATCCCAACCAACACTGTATTCCCTACCCCACCCCACCCAATCCCACCCCAACCCTACTTACCTCGACTCCATCCCCCCTCCATGTATTTCTTACACCCCGTCCAGTGTTCTCCATGGCCGGAAATTTTGGCAGGGCAGTAGACAAAATTGCGAGTGCGAATCCCTTACGGTGTGGGGAAAATTTTGGATTCTAGATGGTCTGTGGTGCATTCTGGGACAATTTCCAGTCCACTTTCTTCTGTAATTTGGCCCCAAATCTGATTGCATTTACAACATGAAATATTGGCTAGGATATTCTTCAGGAGGAAAGATTTGATGACAAAATTATTTTAATTTCCGGAGCATGTTTAGCAGAACCTCATGTTAGTGACTCGAGACATGCTGGAGATGAGCAGACCATGCGGTTTTCTCAATGATCAGTTGACTGTGAAAAGGCAGAGTAAAAACAAGCCTCAAAATGCGCCCTTGAATAAAAAAGGACAAAAGAAATATGTTCAGGCAAAGATACCAGTAAGTTTACAACTTCCAGCTCACGTCATAAAAATGAAGCAATCCCTTCATCGGAGCAGAGCGTGGAGGGGCTGCTCAGGCTTGGCATGGTCCTTCCACTGGAACCCACGCACACTTCGCAAACAATGTTGTGTCGCGGGTACCAGTCACGAGCAATGCGTGTACACATGTACACGCTTGCGCAATATAGCGTACGGGTACATGTATAAAACATACGCGATGGTTTTTTTGGGACACGAGGTTGACGATGCATAATGGTAGGCAGCCAACAATCACCATTGTCAGTACATGTACATCATAAGCATTGTCGGTAAACTCAAACTCGATCCACAACTGTGGTAAACCTCTTTTTTATTAAAATTTTGAGAAAGTAGACATTCTGGGGGAAAATACACTTCTCAAAAAAATAGCAGGGTGTCACAAATTTTAGCAGGGTGGCAAAAGTTTTGCGGGGCGGTCCAAAATTTGGCAGGGCGGTCCGCCCTGCTAAAATAGCATGTGGAGAACACTGCCGTCCCACACTACCCCAATATTTACCTTTTCAATCCCACCCAGTTTTAATTCCCTCACATGTATTATTTTTATTATTTCCTGTGTTTAACCTCTTTGTGTGTTAAACATACAAAATTGATAATTTATATTTATTAAATGTGTATTAATCTAACTTCTTTATATTTTTGAGTTTAAGTATAATTTTGTATCTTATTTTATAACAGTATTTGTCAAGATGATTTTGTATATCCTTTTTAATTACATGCAATGTACTTTTATTTAATGTCACAGTCTTACACAATTCTGCTTTTGTGGCGAGAAGACTGATATAATAAACCATTTAATAATAATTAAAAAAAGGGTTTTAAGAACAAAAATAATCACAATTTAATTATTTACATGATAAAGGAACACTTTTGAGATCCACCACAAAAAAATACATTCCAAAGTAAGTAAATTACCCAGTTTGGCCATGGCTGTGAAAGAGGAGGTACCTCTGAGTTTGGATTCTGAGCTGGTTTCAGAAGCCGGTTTTCATGATCGCTTGTGCATAATGATGCGCGTGGTAACTATGTTGAACATATGCATAAATAATTAGGTTTTTGTAACCCCAAACCAAGCAATCTGCGATTTTGACGTCACTATGCAAATACACGTAGTCTGTTTCCGCACGGGAAAAAAACGCACTTTAAGCTACAATTTTCTCATTTACAAACCAGATTGTTTTGGAGACTTTGATTGACTTCTTGTCATAGTCAAAGAGTTGACGTAATTTTTCATTGTTGTCACTAATGAGCTAAAACTTTTTGCTTGGAGAGTTTGGCCGATCTTGTTCACCTATTTTGGGTTCAAAAGGTCAAGTTCATGTGTAATTGAATATGGACCTACCTGTGCATTGTGCAATAGGCACATGTAAGTTTCATGTAAGTTTCACCCTTTTCGTGATAAGACAATTTTTATTTATTTGGAGGCTTCAAAACGTGAAGCACTCACTTGGAACTACCCATTCAAGATTCAGTGCCATTCCCAAATGCTTATTCTGATTTTATTATTTATTCTGATTTTTAAAATATGTCAGGTGTTACTGAGGTGCACGATGTGTTATCGGACGTTCAGCACACTCATTAAAAAATATTTGCTGACAAAAATCATTTATGATCATCATCATAATTTTCCCCCAAACATCTGGCTGCCACAACAATGACATTATCTGGGGACTGAGGTTGTAAAATGTGGCCTAGAGCTGTGAACGTGGTGCTTGCACGATCACAGCATTCAGTAGCGCCATTGACAAGTGAGCATTATGGACAGTCAGTGAAGCCCCATGCGTGACTCAACAGCAGCCCCTTTAACCTTTGATCAAGGCGCAT